TCTTAATATATGTTAATAGAATTAGTTCTGTTCGATGGCGTATCTTCGTGAACTTGCTATTTCGTAAATCGACTTGAATTTGAACGACAGTTCAATCGATTGACATACTCATAGGTGTGCGCGCGTGCTACGCTATTACTCGTCTATTCTCTTCCCGGTCAATGCTCTAGCTGATCTAGAACAGTGGTTAGAGCAAATCGATGCGAACTGCAGGAGTCGAATAGGTTGCTGCTCTATACCGGGGAGAAAGTCGATTGGCTACGTGCCAGCCACGTGCTGATAAAGAGATTACAAACAGGAGCAACGCCTCTGCAACGAACTTTCTGCGTTCCCGCGTGTTCAGAAGCGAACAAGTTGTCGACGATTCTGTGCATTCGCGATAATTTTGCATATTTTATCTTTAAATAATTGTTCATATACCTGTAGACTTTTACGTTATGAGTCTTTAAAACGGAAAACTCTCTCTCTTTCAATGGAACATTGGCGTCCTGTTTATCATTCAAGATGACTTTTTCAAAACTTAGCGTTATAGCATACGATACGACAGCGACACGATTTTTTGTATACTACTCATGAATAATCGATTTTCACTCGTAAGGTAATTGCATTTGAAAGGATGTGTTTGGTCTCGTCTTGGAATTTAAAAAAGTTATGGATTAATTTTCATGCAGATATTTTACATAGAAAAGAATAATTGCCTCGTGTATGCGCTGGATACGATATATGTACATATATGATAAATATAAAACAACGATAGGAAAAAACTTTCGTTAGATGTAAGAAAAGTATAAAAAAAAGCAATACAAATATTCAAATAGAACATACATTATTCATATCATCAGTTTATAAATTATTTAGATTAATATAGTGTTTATTATTTGAAATAAAAATAAAACATTTTAAAACTTTAGGAAATAAAATTAAAAAATAAAATGAATTGTTTCAACAAATTCGATATTTCTCGAATATATGTGTATATTAGTTAAAATACGAAAACAAATCTGTGTATTTTATCATATATGAAAACACTTTATCGTTATTCATCTCCTTAACATTGATCATACCGGATGATGATCTCGCGTGATCAGCACAGCGATTTTTTTCTCAAACGACCAGCGCGACATCCATTGAGCGCGAAAGCACGTGGTTGGTCGCGCGCCAATAGCAGTTATGTTTATAACAACGTATGACAGATCCCCGCGGTATTCTGCCTCGTAACGGCGATACTATGCATGAGCTATACGACGTTCGTGACGACGGAGATGTGGGGACGCAGTGCGTCGGATATTATCTACATCTACGCAGACTTCTTCTCTTGGGAGTCTCTCCGCTTGGCCGTCCGCCCGAGCGGATTCTTACCGCTTTATTCGCGTGGTATTCTTTTTCGGCGACCGTTCAGCTGCATTTCACAAGTCATGGACGCGACACCGCGACGGCGAATAATTAACGAGCGATCGTTGGCGATAAATCATTATTCTCGGCGACGCTCGAATTGCGCTCATTCGCGAATCCGCATAACGGTGAACGTATGTCGTTCCGGCTAGATGTTTCGCACCTCGTGTACTACAAAGTCTATTGAAAGTAGGTACCTCTAGTCGTTTGCATCCATAAAGCTAGTGTTAAGCTAGGTATGATGAGCCAAACGCGATAAATATCAATGTAATGTTTAATGCATTAATTAGAAAAGAATCAGATCTGTCAAATCAGTACGATATTCTATTCAATAAAAAAAATAATTAAACAAAATTTTTTTTAGGAAAACAAACCAGGAATTCGTATGCCGTTTTGCTCCATCAGTTTTTTACTTGATCGAGAAAAATAATGGAAAATCTCTGTGAAAATTGAAACATTTGGGGAAAGAACAAGTGTAAATATGACATTAAAATGTGGTTGCAGAACTGATTTAAATATATTTTGATACGTTAAACAAAATGTAAAGAAACAAAAAAAATTTTTTTGTGGTCTTGTATTACAGTTACCAGCACTTTTCACAGTTCCACTGTTTTACATAAAAATTAAAAAAATTAGATAGAAATTTTATTAGTTGCAAATCGTAAAAGTATATTCTTTTTCTATACAATTTGACTAACAATAGCCTTGTATTTCATTGAAGATGACATATTTCTAATTCATGATGTACGTTTTTGTTTACGCTTATCGTTCTTGCAGTAATTGCTGCCTAGCGACAAGAAGAATAGACATTCATTAAAACCGCCGTATTCATTACGTGTTCATTATTCAGCGAGATGTTGCACGAAGAAGATACAGTGATATTAATCAAACACGATACACTAATGGCCGTAATCCCAATAACAAACATGCTGGCTTGTAACGACACAGAAAAGAATTAAAAGGATCTAACTATGGCAATAAGAATTCTATCAATCTCTTATTTAATGATAAATATTCACGTTTAATACTTACTCCCTCTCAACGGGAATAGTAAAAACGCTCGTTAATCGCTCCACATCCTTACGACTTCATTATTTAACGATCACTAGACATTCCGCGAAAACGATACGCCTCGAATGTCTCACTTTACGCGTAAAACCAAGTGGCAGTCCGCCTTTGTCACCTTTGCCATTCATGCTAATTTTGTAACCGGATCATTAACGATGCATACGTGCAGATTCACACACAATTGAATGAGCTTTGTTACGTATTTTCTTTGTTCATATTTTTTGTCTTTATATTTGAGCCGATAATATAATAGATGTTACAAATTAAAACATTTAATAATACTGAAAGATTAACATATATTTATAAGAATTATTGTACTTTTTTAAATTTTTTCGTCAATTTTTAATTTATTCTTTTCAGAGAAAATGTAGAGTGTTGATTGGAATGTTTATATTATCGATATTTTTTGACATAACTTGTTTTAAAGTAGACTTACTCTAGTTTGAAATGTATTCTATATGTATGTGTATTAAATTATATATCTTTCACGGACACGCGGTTATACTGAAACACAATAATGCGTAATAAATATTATTTTTCGATGATTAAAAAAAAATTTTCGTTTCGGTTTTCATTTACAAATTGATTTAATAAACATTTAATCATCTGTTAATGTAAATGAAAAATAGAAGCATACAATAAAAAGATAACTGTATTTAAATGGAATTAATCGCTTTTGTATTCAAACAATAGATTCAGAATGATTCTAAAGCAATATATTCAGGGCATTATGAATTTGCAGTTTTTTTTTTATTTCCCCATAAATGAGCCAGCTTTTGATTTTAATTTGTCCTGTTGCAACACGTGCAACCGTTGCAGTACGATTGTTCAGGTGTTTTCGAGTCTGAATTTACCAAGTTACCGGATAATCTTGTACTGATAATTGGATTCGCGTGAATACTCGGATTTCACTTGTTTCGCGGTTGTGGAAAATACGAATGAATTATTTACCCGCGACAAGCGACACGTCACTCCGACGTACAAATGTACCCCGCTTCATGTTTTATTCACTACACCCGCTGCGCTGCGCATTACGCGTTATGAGGCAACTAGACGCTTAGGGATTGACATTCGCGCGCGGTTTCACAAGGTGGATTATGTTCGGAAGCACAATGACTAACCATGTCGCGGTGGTTTGCCACACGGTATGAAAAATAGATAAATCTCGTCTATAATTTTGCTACGAGTCTTCGTACCGATATTTTGATCAAATTCCAACATTTGAATCGATGTTTGTTGATATTTTGATATCTGGTTCCACCAAAAGGATTAATTATCACTGTTTTTAGAATTCTGATAAGATTGCTAGAGAGAAGAAGTTTTCATAAGTCGGTATTTATAGTCTGTTCTTATACTGTTAGGTTTTAAGATATTACATAAACCAATCACGAAGTTGTAGCATTTTAAGACATTACTCGATATATCTTGAAATAAGAATTGATTAGGAATACAAGCCTTAATTTTTCTCAAAGAGTTTTGGACATTAAAATCAAAGTTAAAAATGTTTTTTAAAAGTATGATATATGAAAAAAAAAATTGTATAATACTAATAAGACTTAAACTTACAATTTCATTGCCACAAAACTGGAACTCAAGGAAATCAGGGAATTGTTAGGGAAGTCAAGGAAAAGTCAGGAAATTTTGCAAATTTCTGGAAAATAAAAATTCTTGAATTTAAAGAAGTTTAATATATACGTTATATTCTATACGTTTTTGAAATACTACCAACTTAACAATTAAAAATGCAAACAGTGTCAGTAACATCAATATAGTAATTGACATTGCTATGTTAAATTGATCTCTCAACAAAATATTTAATGATTTTTAAATCAAGATGGAAAATACCTACAAACAATTTTAAAATATTGAAAATCAGGAAAAATCTTGAAATTTTGTCTAGAAATCAGGGAAAATTATGGAATTTTCGGATGAGAAATTTGCGACAACCCTGAATTAGATCATTAATTTTACTGTAAAGTATATGTTTACATGTCTCTAAACCTCTAATTTGAAGGATTGGGAATGGCAAGTTTTGCTTTTTTTGCGCCCCTTAATTATGTGATTCAGATTGGGTCGCAAGAATTTACCCAAGTCCATACGTCACACAGCTCCTAAGGTGTCCCGCTGCACTATTTCCGTCGCTTTGGGTGCCATGGTAAAAAGACGCGTGCACACGTATTAATAGACTGACCGAGCACGACGCATCCACTAGTGACGTCGCGCGCACCATCGAAATTCAGCCAAAATCGACGCGCAAATTTGTCTTACACGATTTTCCTTACGACGGAAGACGACGGTAACACATGTTGCTGCGAGGTGAACACTGGGAGGGGAAACCATGCTGCTCGGGAAATGCGCACTTTCGACTTGCAAGTAGTTACTTGCGAGAGTCGTATTTTCGAGAGAACTTGCTGACCGCATGCGGATGGCAAGGCGAATGATGTCGCTTGGATAAAGCTATTAGGAGTTTTATCCGTGCGGATTTAACAAATTGTCTTCAAAGAAAAGTTACTAACGCTGTTGCTCATTTCTTGTTGCAGAATCACGAATATGGCGGGTACGGAGATGAACCACGTCGAAAAAGGTGAGTTTGCATATATTGTTGATTCGCGTAAATAGAAAGTCTTATGTTTATGTTTTCGAAATTTCTAATTGTGGGCAATTGCACGTGCATCAAACGTGTTCTATATTAATAAAGAGATAACAAAAAATTAAAAACTATGAAATTAGCATAAATAATCTTTGACTTAATTTTTGTCATATGTATCCGCTTATATACAAAATCATATTTATAATAAAAATTATGGAATTGTTAGAAAAAAATACTTCTATCGATTTGTTTGTGCATCGTTATTGATAGAATTTTAACAATCAAACCGATGACAGACAGTTATTTGTCATTGCAAAAAATTTATCAATATGTAAAAAAAGCAGAATTCTACACATCTTTTTACGTAAAATGTGATCAATGATTCTGAGTGGAATTATTTTTTTAAATTAATGTTTTTTATTAATAACTAATACACTGAGAAAAAAATGCTGTTGATTCAATTAAAGTCTATATTACGGGCTGTCACTAACATAAGTGATTAAATCATGTATATTTTTATTGACATAAAGGCATAAATTATTATTTCAATAATCAAGCCTTTATGTCAATAAAATGACAAAGTGACGTTTATTACCGTCATCTTGAGTTTTCTCGATATATTATCAACTGTGCATCATCATTTTTTAGACCCATCAACTTTTGCAACACTTTTAATTGGACAATGATGAGTTTCACTCTTGATGGCGCCATTTGATCGTCTCGCAAGTCTCATAGGCCACTTAATATTGTATAAACAAGTTGAAATCAATTACATGCAAATCACTCGTTCGATCGTTCTCAGCTGTTGATATAATTTTACGCATCATATATTGCAACTTTTAAAAATATTGATATTTTTCAGATCGCATTTTATTTAAATTATTATTTTTTCACTTTATATTAATTATATCTTATATTACACGACTTTTTAAAATTATATTTGCTTTTTCCAATAAAAATGCAAATGCGGTCTTTCATCCAGAAATACGTTCTTATTTGTGCCCTATTATATCAATGACACGCCATTAAGAGAACGCTCAAGCGTGGAATTGGATGGCTGATAAGCGCCAAGACGCGCTCTATACATCGCGACAACGAAAATTAATTAAAACGCAGCCGGTTGTCACAAAGTTTGACCCTACTGCTGCTATCCTACAGTCCAAATCTAATAATAAAAAGTTAAGTCGAGCATTAAGCATGATTCAATCCAACAGAGGCAATCCGATAGCGAATGATATCTACTGCACGAACTCACGATAACTTCTGGGTAAAGTGAATTCGAGCTGGCGAATCATTGAACGGTCACAGATGCAGATATTAGATGTTAGATAAGCAGTAAGAACGGTATAGTAAAACGATATTAAATCTTTATTCACGAGTTCTATATTTTCGTAAAATTTCCAATAAGAATCGAGAACGGTATAGTAAAACGATATTAAATCTTTATTCACGAGTTCTATATTTTCGTAAAATTTCCAAATCTATGATTTTTACTTTTGTAATCGAGAAAGAAAGAGAGAGATACATTTCTTCGTATACTTCAATCTTTAAACTCCAGACTTCTCCAGACTTATTTCTTGGAAGTATTCCTAAGAAAGATGTTGGAGCATTATTGCAGACGTGTTTTCATCCGTTTCGAGATATCCTATGAATAATAAGCCGTAAATCGCAAACATGAGAACTTGATACAAATCAGCTTCGAATAACGATGATCGTTACAAGTGGTAATTCAATTTGTATCAATCCTCGCAATTGGATATTCCATATGCTATTAGACGATGCAACGGCATTCTCGTCATTTCACTTGTGGAAAAATTACAGCGATTGATTTTTACGTTGGATGCAAGTCACGAAGAAGAGATGTATACACCAATATCAATTGTGAAAAATATATCGCGCGGTGTCCATCACCGGTCGGTTGCTTCACTATACAACACGTGAGCATGTCAAATCTCGGTTGGAGATTACTTCGTTTCGCTTTTCCCTCAACCGAGAATGCGAGATACCTATCTTTCTATTCTTGACGTCATAATCCGTTACACTGTATGATGCACGTGTGCAATCCACGTACACTCTATATATCAAAAATATTTTTTGAATTGTGAATTTTAAATAAAATGCAATACTTCCATTTATATATGTGTATATATTTGAATACACTTTGTGTACATATCCTTCACAATTCAATGATAGAATTACGTGTGTGCTGCTAACAATGTACAATAAATTAGTTCGCTAATATTGAAAAGGAAATTTGACGAAGTTTGACATTTTAATTTCACGGATATGACAGTGATGTAGATGCTGTTGATATAATTTATACGTATAGATCTACAGAATTTGATTTTCTTTATTTTCAATTCGTGTAAAAACGAAGCCGGGATAATATTTCTAGTTTCAACGAGTGCAATCAATTCGATTTTACGCGACGTCAGCAAGACGTCCGTGCTGCAGTCAACGAAGAATGAATTATTATTGGCGAACTAGTTTTTGCAAACTCGGCGATAATCCAGGCCTCGTTTTCGAGCGGGCTTCCGTAATTGAATTTTCAAATAATTGAAGCGCCTTTTAACGAGGACAAATGATAGAAATTCATGATTTTATCGTGCACTTATGCCGTAGAGCGAACTTCATTAAAGTTCTCTGTGCGTTCACTGGAATAATACGTATCAATTAATGTTTCAGAGAAGACAATAATAAACCGAACCACGTCCTCCTCTTCACAATTATCAATCCAGTTTACCCCATCACTGTGGTAAGTCTTTCACTTCAATTTATTAACGCTAGTACGATCAAATCTTTTTTCTTTTTTTTTTTTCGTTTCATGCATTCATAATTTTTAAAAATGCATATCACGTAATTCTTTTAACATATATCTTTAAAGCTGTCGTGTATAAAAAAATAATATAATTCATAAATTATATTTTATTCTCAAATTAAATCTTTTAACATTTAAAATGTAGCGCGAGAGAAAGCTGTAGCATTCATAATATATGTCCAAATACAGAACAATTGTTATACGTGCAGTGCATTTCTTGTTTTTTTTTTTTTCCTGTATTAACTCGGTGCAAAAGAGTCGGGACGGAAAAGTGGCGCAATTCTGCGACACGGACTATAACGGGAATTGAAAATATTGAAGCCAAAGCCACAGAGAACAAAAGTTGGCAGCACGTCAGCCTCGTAGATTTCACAGGCCGTCGCACTGCATTTTATTTCTGTTTTGCGCCAATAATAGATGAGCTTTGAGCTCTCCCGCCGTTTCTCTCCCTCGCCCGCACTGGCGGTCGGGTCGATGTCATTCGACATTGTTTGCGCTGCTTCTGTTCAAGCGCTCACATAGCTATCCGGTCGCACAAAGCTCGTTTTCTTACATCTCTCCCGCGATTGAACCACTAATTAAAGAGACGACTGAAGACTTCTTGCTCGCGCGATAACAAAAAGTGCTAACAATACTGTGTTACTACCGAAGTGTCTACATTGCGCAGTGCGAACACAACGATGTTTTTGCTTTATGTTGCGAAACCTTCTTGATCCTATTATCTTGAATATTATCTTTATTGTTGATAACAAAAAGTATAGTTATCTTCCTATAAAGATAAAAGTAGAGAGATTATATAATCTAATAATCTCTCTATTCACAGCTGTATAATAACGTTGTTAGTTGTATAGACTGCGACGAAAAAAGCTAATGTCAAAAATTTTAAACTGTACAAAATACAAAGTATGTATCTCATTAATATTTATTATAGAGAAGACTGACATTGTTTGTGGTTGTGTAATGGGCAATTTATCTTTAATATGCAGTAAAATGAGCTAGAATTTTGTGATGTGTACAAGCACCCGTTAATTTCAAGTCTGCTGAAACGTGACTTTATATTCCATTAACGGCTCATCGTTTCAATTTAATTAAAAGCTCATATAGTTAGAGCTTCCTTGAAGGTTTTAACTCTTAAGCACGCTTTTACCTCTTTCTCCATTTTCGTTTTCATTCTCTCCCTTTCTTTGTTTCCAATAACGCAATTATTCGTCCAACATTTTGCAGTTTACTTCGTCTTGACATTTACAAATGAATTGTCATATCTACTATCCATTAAAATAAATTAATCGGTACATTTGCCTTCCCGTCTCACAAATTATTTTGTAATTTTCTTTTCGCGAGGGTTTCTGTGTATTCAATCAGCAAATGTATTGATCGATATTTCATTTTGCTCGAAAACATACTGCCAATTCGATTTCCGGCTTTTTCATCCGCTAGACAAACATTTATCCAGGTAGAATGTTTTGCATAGAATATACGTGTGTTTTACTGGACAGGATCTGTGAGCATTAATTGGAAAACCGTTATTTTGATAAAACATACTAAATTTAAGAAATTTTTACTTCAACGCGCAATCAGACCTGAATGTGTATATCAACTTGACAGTTGCAGCTGGAAGTAGTCGATGTAAATCTAGATTATATGCTGGTAGTGCCAATATGTTTCCTCGACATATGGTTGGCGTTATAAGCGAGCTTTTATGAGGTGCAAGGCAAATTGAACTAAATATTATATTTATGGCGGAATTTCTCGAATAGGCTTTCGATACCAACGTATATAATCGCCAAGCAATCTATATTTGTCACATTGTGACATTTATTAATCCGTTATCGAATTATGTTATTCTATCGGCATAAGTTAGCGACGGGCATAAAATCTAGGAATATCAAAGATTTTTTAATTTTTATTTTTAATTCATTTAAAATTTATTTTATTTATAAAAGTATTATAAAAATTATACACATTAAAATACGATATATAATTAATCGAGCGTAGATGAAATTTTTTAATATAACAAAATGTTATCATTATTATTTGTTAAATAAGTATCCTGTAAATGTTTGTAAACTATTTGTAACGAGATCTCTTTATAACTAAGTTACACCTGTTGGTGTTATCTTACTTCATCTAGATGTCGTCTGAGACCGTAAAACGAAACCAAAGTGTATTTCACAACTTACATTAATCACAGAGATATGACGTTAATTTAAGTTATCGCGATACAATATTGCGGGTGTGTCGCCATATGGTTGCCAATATTTTGCACCTGAAGTGATGGTGATGGCGTTGGAACGCGTAAGACAGTGCACCTCGTGTCTACTTTATCGCGATGCACATGTATCACGAACAAATAAACGTCACATGCGGCTAACGATGTATTCCGTGAATCGCATCGTAACGAAGCGAGATGATTCACAGATTTTATTTTCAGATTGTCGTATTAAGTGAAATTAATTTTTTTTATAACTTTATCCTTTAACAAAAATTTGTCCGATCCATTTACACAATTAATATTGAAACTTTTTTTAAGTCTAATTATAATCTAATATGTACTACAACATAAATATTTCAGTGTACCTTTAACGATACATAAAGCCAACACTCTTATTCTTGATGTTGAGTTGAAACTTTCTAAGAAAATTGCAATACATCATGTTTTTGTCACTTGAATATTTTTTCATAAAAGTTATGAAAGTGTATCTATCTTAGGATATTATTCATAAACTGAAACTAGAACGTAAAGTATTTTTTTATTTATAATAGCCATATATTTTCTAGACACAACACGTGTACCAGACTATATCTAAATGCGATACTATATGTGAATAGAAATTGAAAAATAACTCGATATTATATCATAACGCGATTGAACAGATATTTTAAGATGTCTCATTCAATCGCGTGGAAAAATTGAACGTGACATCGACCTTCCGAAATACAAAAGCTTTCGGGTAGGTCTGGGATACATTTGTTCGAATATAAATTCGAGCGTTGTATTGGAGTCTTTAAATAGCTGCGCCGCTGCCGTGTATATGCAAAATGATTTGAGTGTTGAAATCGAAAACAATGATAATTGCAAATAAACACCTGATTGTCTCGAGTCATAAGTTCCGTTGAAGCGTATGAATTTAATGATCGTATGAGCATTTGACAGAAGTTTATTCGGACGTATCATAGGTATTGAATAATATAATAATTGTTTGGAGTTTTATCTATAAGAATTATTTAATCTATTAAAAAAATATTATACACAAAAAAATATATTAAATATATTAATATATTTTTAAGTAAATTATTTTTACTAAATATTTCAAATGACTCTTAGTTTAAATAACAATGTATGCAGATTAAAGCGGCGTCCACAATGAGATTTTGAGGCGTAAAATTAAAGATGTAAGTCTTAAGCGGTAAAAAATCGATTAATTTAAAAGTTAATTAGTATTCAACTGTGATTCATCAATATCTTACAGCTTAAGATATAAGTTTAAGTTTTATGCCTTAAAATTTCATTATAAACGCCACTTAATAGGTGTATTTAAGTACAAATTAGTTATGCTATAAAAAAAGTTTCACCAACGTTTTGTAAAATAGTTCGTAAAATTTTATTTTATATAAAATTTTAACAAATAAATCGCGGAGTCTTTAAATTGATATCTAGCGCAACTGTATGCTTACTCCATGTTGTTTATGTTGAGTTGTGTATATAAATATATGTTTTGTGTGTTTATGCGTTTAGCGACTTGACTTGTTACATAGAATGTAGAAATAAATTTTCACACGCTTTGACTTTGGCAATAACATACATGATGATGTGACAGTCTGCTGGATTTAGATTAATGAAGTAGTTATTTCAAGACTAAATTCCGGTCCTACTCGGAATTCGTAATGTGATCTCGACCTATGTTTTTGTCTAATAATCTGGTAAAATTGATCGTAAATATAAAAAGTTGTTTTGCAGCGTATTATTTCTCTTTACGAATTTATAACACAAATTAAGGGTAATATAGTAAAATAACGCAAAATTAATAGAAAATTTCAGCAGCAAACTGAGTAGGTATTTAATATTGATTCAAAGATGATAGTCATAATATTTACAGTATTATTTAATTGCAATACGAAACAATGCCTTTTATTGTTGAAATTTGACATTATCGAACAAATTGAGATAAATTGTTCTGAATCGCGGTATAATATTTAATTACTCGGAAAATCACGGTGCAGTTTATATTAATTCGTATTTCATTGTTATCGTAGCTTTGTTTATTTTCGGTGCTGAAAAGAAGTGAACGGTAAAGCGCGTACGTATCCTATAAAAAGTGTTGAATGCCATGCTGGGGAACAATAAAATTGTCTAGTGACGAAGTGTGCTATAAAATCAGCGTTACCCAAATCTTTCTCGACATGCAAAAAACATTTTTATAGTGAACCATTGAAGCTTTAAAAACCTATTCCGCTTTTGGAGAAAAAGCATGTGGTTTCGTTAAAAAAGATAAATAAAACCAAGTATTGCTATAAAATTTTAAAATAATCTAAAAAAAATTTTTTATTAATCCTAATTTTTTTTTTTATAAATAAAGAAATATATTAAGAGGTTTATTGTGTCGAAAATTAATACATTTTAAATATTATTAACTTGTAATTTGTTAAAAACAAGACGTTATATAAAGTGAATATCTGATGTTTATACGAAGTTTTGATGCGCAATCGTGTCTCACAACTTAGATTTTAAATATGTATCACGATATAGTTTGAGATAAATCAGGTTAACTTTAGGGTTGACACTAAAAATCTCTTGGGGTTCTTCTTTCGTGAGTAGAAACTTTTCACCGTTCTGTTTTTGCTTTGAGGCAACTTTAGGTCATAGCTTTAGTCTAAATAAGTTCAGTCCGACAGTTCAGAGGAAATATTTCGTCGAATTATCGTCGTATATACGCGAT